GGGGTGGGGTGGGGTTGGGGGTGGTGAGTGTGTGTGTGTGCGTGTGTATGTGTGTTGTGGGGGAGCAGGTGAGGCAACGACGGCGTGGTGGTCGCGTGGGTGCCTTCGCGAGGTGGACGACGGTAAAAAAACATTGCCTTATTTGCCTTATTTGCTGGAGTGCCTTGCACCGCATGCCTCAAATTACCGTTGCACATATACGAGCACACGCACACACACACACACACAAACACACCTATACACAAATTCAGTGTGTATCTTGAACCCGATGCCAGATGCAAACACCCTGACATACCCCGTCCAACCTTTCACCCCACCTGGCACCGCCCATCGGCGCCCCAACGCCCCAACGCCCCAGCGCGTCACGCCCCAGCGCCCACCCCCCCACCGCCCCAGCGCGTCACCTGTGGTAGTAACCCGGCACGACCTTGTCCAGCACGCTGTGGGTGTTGTGGGGGCCGCTGGCGAAGGTGTGGTTGTACACCACGTCAGCCACCACGCGCAGGCCCAGGGCGTGGAGGGACTGGCGGCGACAGAGTTGGGGGTGGGGCGGGGGAGGTGAATATGAGCGTGTGTGTGCGGGCGCGTGGTTGGTGGAGAGGGGGAGAGTGGGCGGTACGGACCGTGTGCGGCTGTGCGTGTAGCACGTTTGCAAATCGGGGTTGTGCATGTATGAGTGTGTGCACGCGCACGCCGCGCGCGTGTGTGTGATGTGTTGGGTGCGAGCCCCTGTCCCCACCGTCAAGCTGCCCCGGCTCACCTCTTGCGTGCAGCAAGCCCTCCACCTTCCACTGCCACCGCCCGCCCCCGCATTTTCGGAGAGCACCGTCCTATCCCCTACCCCATCACACACAAAAAAACGCGCACACCTCAAAATCACACAAAAACACACATGCCTGCCGGCGAACCCCGGCAGCCTGCTTGCTCATGCACCGCCCCCCCAAACACACACACACATGAGAGCGCGCTCGTTTGCGCGCACACACACCCACACACACACACACACACCTGCACCATCTCCCTGTACTCGAGGACCCTCTGCGGGCCGTCGGGCTGAGAGCTGTAGGAGCCCTCGGGAACACCATAGTGCACCTTTTGGAATGGGGGGGGGGGGGTGTGGGAGGGGGGATTTCGGCAGAGACGAGGCAGTGGGGCAAGAATGGGCGGAGATTGCAGGGGTGGCGTGCGGGGCGTTGGGGAGGCGAGGCGCCAGACGTGTGGTGAGGCGGAGATGGGAGGAGGACCGTGAGATGAGGGCACGAGCAAGGGGCGCGCAAGCCCGTGTGCACACGCCCGCGTGCACAAACACATCATCGTACCCATGAATCGAGCTCTGCCCACCGGGTCGTATCCCCAATTGAATGCGTCCTGGTCGGCCACCGCGGCCACCGCGGCCTGCTGCTCCTCGCCGTCGGGCGGGTAGCGGGACAGATCCTCCTGGGGTATACGTGGTTGTCAAGGGGTGTGTGTGTGTGTGTGTGTGTGCAGGGTCGTGTAGGTGTGTGTGCGCATGTGAGTGAACTTGTGTGTGTGTGTGTGTGTATGTGTGTGTGTGTATGTGTGCGTTGGTGTGTGTGAGAGGAAGAAGGATAAGGGGAAGTTCAGGAGTGTGTGCGTGGGGTGCAGGGGTTGGCCCAGGGTGGCAGCGTCTGCGCACCACACAAGCGGGGCTGGCTGGTCGGACACACGACAGGAGCGGGGCCGCCTCTCAGGGTACCACCCCAAGCCAGACCGCCTTGCGCCATCGCCGCGCAACCCTCGTGTCCCCACAAGTTTGTAACCTGGCAAGGTGAAAAAATCTGATTCGCCTCCTAAGAGCAGCCTCAGCCCGCCACCGCCCCTCGCACCCACCTTGACCGCGAGCTGCTCCTCCGCCCGCTCAGGCACGCTGCCGTAGTCGTACGACGGCAGCAGGTGCAGGTGACTCAGCCCCGCCCCCCGCAGCGCCGCCAGGTGCGCCTGCCCGGCCGTCAGCCGCCCAGGCACAGGCTCCCAGTCCTCGCTGGCGGTGGCAGCACCCTCCGCCGCGTCGCCCGCGCCGCCGGGGCGCGTGCGGGCCGGGCAGAAGGCGCGGTACTTGCCGCGGAGCGCCTCGGGGACGGAGGCGTCGGTTGCGCTGAAGGCGGTGCGGGGGTGGTGGGGCGGTCGGCATGGGCGCAGGGACGATGAGGGGTGAGCACATTTGATTTGGGCGAGGGGTTGTGGGAATCCACACAAGGCAGCTGCAGGCTGTGTAGCCCGGCCAAATCGAAGCGTGAGCGGGACCGGCGGGGAGGCGCGCAGCCAGGTGCATCTCTAATGCATTGTTGCCAGATCACCGGGCCAGATCACTCAGATCACGGGGCCTCACCTGAAGTCGCGTATGTGCAGCTCGTAGACGCTAACGTCGGTCCAAGCCCCGATGGCCGGCATGAAGTGGTCGCGCCAACCTGTGTGAGTGTGTGTGTGTGTGTGCGTGTGTGTGTGTGCACGCGCGCGCTTCAACACGGTTGAAGCAGGAGGCTTTTTGAGACTTTGCGAGAGTGCGTGCAAGCTGTTTCTCACCGCCACGCCAGAATCCGCACATTCAGATGAACAGCTGCAGGTCCAGCGTGCCGGCATGGCCCGCATGCCAGCACGTTCGACGTGCATGCGTGGCCTCCTGCAGTATCAGCGTACCTGGGGGCGCCAGCTGAGGGTCATCCAGGTCGAGGATGAGCGTCCGCTCCCCATTGGCCGCGGTGCAGCGGCTGTAGGGGTCGGTGGCCTCCACGGTCTCGATCTCGCGGGTCCACGGGCAGAAGACGGACAGGCGGTACTTGTAATAACTGCCGCGCGGCGGTTTTGGGGGTGCGGGGGCGGTTGGGGCGGTGCCAGGCAGCCGTGGCTGTGTGCCGGGGTGCACAGGGGGATTCTTGGCGGCGCGGTATGGACGGGTTGGGTGAGTGATTTTCGATGAATCTGAAGTTGGTTGGTGGAGGCTGTAACCTGAAGGGGGGATAAACATGCGGCGGACTATTCCCAGAGGGCCGAGCGCCTCCAGTAGGACGTTGCTGCTGCAGGTGCGTGGCGGGCGGCTGCCGCGTGGCGATACAGTAACACAGAAAGACGACGCTTGGGACAGACGAATTCAAACTAATTCAGCTGCGTGCGCGCCCCCCAACGACAGCAACGTGGGAGCCTCTGCAAGCCGCGCCTCCGCGGGTGCGCCGCGCCCTGCCCCTCCACACGCGTCCACCGCAACACCCAGGGGCCGCGAAACCCGCCATGGCCCTGCCCCGGTCGGAGTCCCCTTGTGTTCAAGGTCAAAAGTCACCAACCTGAACAACCGCCACCCCTTGTCATTTACACAGAGAGCTGTCTTGATGACACCAGCCAACACTCCCGCGTCCCACCCGGCACCCACTTCCCCTTAACACAGGCCGATGCACCCACGTTCCGCGCCAGTCCTCGGGGCACTGCAGGGTCCACACCCCCCTGTCGCCCCACGCCAGCTCGTGTACCTCCGCCTCCCCGCCACGCGGGCCGCGCCAGTGCAGCAGCTGCACGCGCTGCGCTGTGGGCGCCCAGAGGCTGATGGCGCCGTGGCTGCTGCTGGGGGATGGGTGGTGGC